CAGAACTACCAGGCCCCTTAAAGGCTATGGGAACACTGCTTCCCTTAGTACCCAGACACCTGGGTGAGGAAGCCAGACTGCCTCCACTGACCCTACAATCCACCCCTTCTGAAGTCTTCAACAATTTATGTAAGCATATCTTCTGCAAGGTTTGCTTGGCAAGGAGGGCAGAGCCCTGTAACCCACAACAGCAGTAGAAGAAGCTATAGCAACAAGGAAGCAAAATACAAGTGCTGCCACCCAGGACAGCAAGAACCCACCACCATTCAGTAGTTAAGGAGGCCCACCATTCCGGCAAAGGATCGCCTGTCAGGCATTCAGTGGCAAGGGTCTCAGAAGCTAATGCCCATAAAGCTTGGCTAACATTGTGGTGGACATCAGGAACATATACACAGCATTCAGCCCCTAGGAGGGCACACACCTACCTTGGGATGCAGTGAGCATATCTAAATCCATAGGAAACTGCAAGGTTACTTTTCTTAATTGATACACTTCCTCATTTAAGAGGCTTAAGGAACCATGTGTTGCATTCAATGCAGGAGCAGTGTGCAGAGCTAAAGCAGTTATCAGTCCCAGTGACTATGGAAGTAGCTTGAGGAGAAAAAATAGCTAATAGATAATACCTCCAAGGAGTATGCTTTACCCAGTTTCATGCTTTAAATGCCTCCCAATTGATTGGCCGCCTTACAAGAATTTTCTAAACTAAAGCAGGCAAATAGGGCCATCCCCAGGTACAAGGACCAGTGCAATTTCTGGGCAGGTAAGGCCACCCAGGTAAGCCACACACTCAGAGGGCTCCAGTAGGAACTGCAGCCTATGCAACATCTCATGCCTCCCAGAAATGCTCTAGAATCTGAGCCTGACACAGACCTGCCAGAGTCCAGCCCACCTGGCCATGTCCTTTGGGGTTCTCAGTGCAAAGGGGAGCTGGTCCAGCTAGCTCCATGGCCTCAGCTGTGGGCCACCTCAAGCCATCCTGTGCGGAATATCTGCTTAATATCTTGGGCTTCTCATACCACTGCTTTGTCAGTCCAGGTAGCATTCCACAGGGGATGGTCACTGTTCCACTGGTTCTGAAGCCAAGTCCAATTTGAGACTGAATCAGGAGAGATGAGCCATGGAAGGATGGCCGATGTGCTCAGTGGGAGTTCAGTGCAGACCCAGCATGTTGATTCGTTAGCCACTGAGGCATGGGTATGAACCCAGTCTACTAAGATGTTTGCACTCTAGGGGCCAAAAAACAGAGCAGTTATAGGCACCAGCAAAGGTAAGTCACGACCTTCAGGCAATATACAAGCAAGCTTCTGGTAAGCCAGTGAGACAGTGGCTTGTAGAGGGGGGTCTTTCTGGACATGAACACCAGACCTTTCATGCCTCAACTGGGGGTTCGGCATCTACTTGCAATAACGGGAGGACTCATCATGGGCCACAGGGAAATCACAAAGGTGCCGCCATGAAGAAGCGTTTCACGGTCTGCTGGCCCCGGATATGTCACCTTTAAAACTGGGGGCCATGTCCCAATCTCCCAGGGCACTATTTGCAAGTTTCTCTTCACCCCTTGTCTCCAAGGGGCAACAAGAGTCACCCAACACATGTGAGGGGCTCTTATTTCCCAAGGCCACCTCCAAGTGGCTGTTTGCCCTCGTTCTAGGCCCTCAGGAGACAGCAAGAGAATATTCCCATGCCTGGATTCAGAACAGTATCCTTAGTCGGTACCTGTTACTGAACCAGAGCTTCAGTCGGTGGAGCAGTGCTTCCACCTTAGCTGGGCCCCACGTCTGACTCCTCTCATTCAGAGTCTGGAGGACAGTCCCTAAGCGTTTGGTCCAATCCCTCAGTGCAGGGGTGGCAGCTGCAGCGTTCAGGCCCTGCTTTAAGAGACCATTGTACCATCTGGCTTTTTTACTGGCTATACAGGAGAGTTAAAAGGACTGTGGGTGGCCCTAGTTACTCCCACCTTCTCCAACTCTCATGTCCTCCAGCAGCCAGTATTGTTTCACTGCTGGTACCCGTGGTGGGGATGGCAAGTGTGTGTGGAGGGGGATACTCAGCACATCCCTGCGAAGATCCTTAACAGGCCCCCACAAGGGGCGCAGAATACACTCAGGAATGGGGGACACCTAAACAGTCGCACTTCCCGTCCCCACCCGTCCCCTGTAAAAGAGTTTCTCAGCCCTTTTCCTATTTGAATTTTAAAAGGATATTTCCTCCCTCTTTTGGGGACATGGGCATAGCCAAATACTCCTCTAGACACAGAGGACAGGCTTCTCAGATTACACCCCCAGGTTTTGGAGAGATAATTTAGGCCTGAACCTGCCGTCAGTGTGCGGCCTCCAGGAGCTTGCCCTCCAGCAGTGTGCCTGGAGGCCTGCGCTCACCGCAGACTCTGGCTCCTCCCAGGGCTATACTGCCTCTTCTGCCAGTGCATTCATACTCAGGCAGAGGTGTCTGCTGCCGGTGCCTTCTTCTGGGGCCTTGGCAAGGAGGGCAGAGCCCTGTAACCCACAGCCTCGGCTGCCGCCACCGTGGCTCTCTGCCCCCTCCCTGTCAGTGTGCTGTCTGGGTGCCAGCTCCAGCCTGCTTTTTTGAAGGCTCCGGGGCTGCGCTGCCAGCTCTAACAGCTCCTACCGTGGCCCTGCCTCCTGGTACGCTGCGGCGAAGCTTGGCTCCTCGCCCACGACCCTGGCCCACGGTCACAGCAACTCCTGCTACTTGCCCGCAGGGGTCCCCACCTCTTCTGATCAGTGAGCTCTGAGCAAAGCTTTCCGCGTGTCAGTGCCACCGACCAGGCCCCAGTCCTCTGGCAGGTCACTCTCAGCAACTGTGTTCCAGGTCTGTGTGGGGAGGCGGAGGGAGGAGGATTCCCAGACGCAAACTTCCCCCAGGTGCCTGAGGCTGCTGCCCTCAGGGAACTCAGTTCCTTTGCCCTCCACCTTTTCCCCTGAATTGCTCACTAACCTGTGGAAGTGGCAGGGAGTGTCACAGCTCCACTGCTTGGAGGCTTTTCACCAGGGCACAGATTCAAGCCTTCAAGGCTTTTTTTCTCTGCCTCGGTTGAAACTTTGCCAAGTTGGGAAATGCAGTCTCCTCTTCTTCAGCCTTCAGGGCTTTACTCCTTCTCAGGGCTCTCAGAACTTTGCTGAATGGCAAAGCCTTGCAAAGCTGAAAGAAACACCCAGCCCACGGCCCACAGGGCCACATGGGCACTGGGCTTTCCTAGGGACTTCCCCACCATCCACAGGGCTTTCTCCACTGTGTCCATGCACCGCTGACATTGGGCCAGTCCTGGGGGGAACGGCCGAGCTGCTAGGAGCCCAGTCACAGAATACTAACTACTGGTGACCAGCCACTCCAAGCCTCCTGCCCCCAGCCTCTACCCCTGGCCCCATACCAGTCTGCAAGGAATCCTGCCAACTACGCCAGTTATGTTGGGACCATTCAAGGCCTGACAGGTTCATGGTATTCGGGCAGAATATTCATGGAGCTGTTGGAATGTCTGACATACCTTTATTCACGGTGGGTGAGCCATGAACGCTGCAAGCTGCATGTCCCCCTTCATGTCTCTGTGTGGCACGTGTCATGGCCCTCGCTCCCCAGTGTGGCACCAAACAGGAGCCCTTAGCCCCCTTTTAAATACTAGAACAAACAAAGCCAGCTTCCAGCCAGAAAATGATATAACATAGCACAATTTTGTGCATGGGAGCCCACTTCATGTTATGGGAACCATTTATTGGACCCAGTCTCAAGGCTACGAGAACACAACTATCAGGCCCCTTAAAGCCTATGGGAACACTGCTTCCCTTAGTTACCCAGACACCTGGGTGAAGGAAGAGAGACTGTCTCCACTTACCCTACAGTCATATCATGGCAATATATCAGGAATAGAGGAAGATGGCAGCTTCCTCTATTTCCAGGTAAAGGAAAGAATTTTTTTTTAAAGATTTTATTTAGTTTTAGAGAGGAAAAGGGAAGAAGTGCAAGAAACATCAATGTGTGGTTGCCTCTTGTGCACCCCGTAGTGGAGACCTGACTTGCAAACCAGGCGTGTGCCCTGACTGGGAATTGAACACGTGACCCTTTGGTTTGCAGGCCGGCACCCAGTCCACTGAGCCACAGCAGTGAGGGCAGGAAAGGATTTTTTAGAGAGGCGAATTCTGCATAATTTGAAGGCAAGAAAAAGAGCCCCCAGAAGGGGAGAGGTTTTCATTTGTAAATGATTTATCACTTTTTTCCCCAAAGTATTTTACTTTTATTTCTATTTCCACCTAGGCTATTCTTGGTGGTTATTTGCTTCAAAACTTACCCAAAGACCCCAATTTAACCAAAAGAATGCCTTTGGAATAGTCATTGCAGATAACTACTGGCTGGTTTATTAGTTTATTGACTGGTTCACTAGCAAAAATGTTTTGGTTTTTCGAGGTGAAAAAGACAAAAGCACAATTGTACTATTGCAATTGAGCAACTTCTTTTACTTTACGCTTTTCCAAGACTGCCCAAATAGGGTTATGTCAATCACCAAAGCATACTTAAATGTTTCCTTAACGGCTTTTTGATTCTGGATTCCAGTGCCTCGAAATTTTAAAAGTAAACTTATTGCTAGTTAGAAGTGCATTAAGCTCTTTGAAAAATTATAACTTTACTTGTGTATAAGTTATACCCAAAACTGAACATAACCCCAATGTGAAAAACAGGGCCTACTTTTTAATAATAGCAACTATTTTTTGAAAAATTCCTATGTGCCAGACACTGTTTAAAAGCTGCGCATACATTATTTAATGCTCCCAATGAGTTAGGTATCAGTTATCCCCATTTTGCTGATGAGAAGAGAGTTTGAGTCACTTGCCTAAGATCACACAGCCAAAAACTAGAGCTGGACTCAATCCATTTGCCTGACTGGTAGAGAATATACTTTCATCTTAACGTTGGTATTTTGAGTCAACTACATCTAATCGGTATGCACATTTTGGGGTGATGCTTCTCACGTTTTTCCTTCTTCTTAGGGACCAGCATGAGCGACCTTCTGCTGTTCAGCTTCTGAAGCACTCTTTCTTGAAGAGAAGTCACTGAATATACACCAAGACTTTCCAGTTCCACTATAGATAATCTGTTAATTGCTGCATTGTGGGAATGATGGTTAAAGGACCTTTACTTTCCTACTGGAAAGTCAATCTAACCCAATTTAACCAGATCCTACAGTGTCACTAACTTGAAAAGTTTGTTACATTAGTCTCTTCAAGCTTCAGGTGTAATTATTTATGTATATGAAAATTTTTCTTCAAAACACCTTTCCCAGTGTTTACAGTTTTGACTATCCAGGAACTATAGCCTCTATTGCTTATGCAACATTTCTTTTTATTTTTGCCTTGACAATTTTAATGTCATTGGTTCAAAATAAACTGTAAAAACAAGAAAATTGTATTTAATTGCTTTGTGGGTGAAGGCACATTTCATTTTTATGAGACTTGAGGAAGGTGAGAAGAGACACAATCTAGATTCTGTTCATTTTGTCAGCAATCTTAACCTTGCAGTTATAGGAACTTCAAGGTTAACAGGAAGAGCTAAGGGCCTTGGTGCTTCATTGTCAGAGGATCCCCAAACTCCTCTGAAGACTCCACCTACAAGAAGCTGGGTTATTCAGTGTGGCTTCAGAAACCTCAGGCTGCTTTCCCTGTAATATACACAGTGTGATTTGAGGTCTTCACTTGTTTGCAGAGTGATTTAGTTCATTGCCACATCTAGAACTAGCTAAACCTAAGCCAGCTGGTGGGATGAAGCTAGATCGGGTAGTGAGTTAGCATAAACTTTTCAGGGCACTTTCCTCCTCTTATCCCCACTTAGGTCACTCATTTCCCAAACATTGCTAAACCTCACAAAATGAACACACACAAGTTGTCAAAATGACTACATGGAAGTCCTTCTTTTAAGTTGGTGGACTAAGTGTATTGGACAAGTTTTCTATAGCTGTCAACTCCACCCATCTACTGAGTTTCATTGAGACTGATTGGTTTTAGTTGTATCTGTATTTTAAAAAAAACTGGCTGCTGTCGGTTCAACATGGTACAGCTATAGACTTTAGGTGTATTCTAACACCAGTTGTCAGATTTTGTTAAAATCAAGCTGCCTGATTCAAGTTTTTGAAAATGAAATGCAGTCCAGGCAGTCCACCTGAGGTGACACAGGTTTACTTTGGTCAAACTGTTAAAGATGGGTTTTGTGGAAGCATCTTCCTTCTTTCTCTCCAATTTGTACAGTTCTCCCATTTGATAGGAATTTAAGAAATGTGGCCCTATTTTTACTTACAGGTGTATCTCATTTTATTGCATTTTGCTTTACTGAACTTCACAGATGTTGCATTCTTCTTTTTAAAAACAATTTGAGGGCAAGACCCTCCACCAGCAAAGACGACTCGTTTTATCGCAGTGCTTTGGAACTGAACCTACACTGTGTGTTATGCCTGTGCTTGTGTATCAGTATAACCCGAAACATCATTTTGGTAAAGTAGGGCTTAAATTTAAAAAAAAAAAAAATTAGCTGGGATCTTTAGTATTCTTTAAAATCCGAATGGTTTTAACTTACTTTGGAGCAATTATTTACATTTTAGCCAATTAAACTTCATGGGTAAAGGGCAGAAAGATGTTTATCGTATGTATGCAAATCACAATGGACACAAGCATTTGGTGTTTACAAACCTATTTCTCTTTGGATATGGAACTCTGAAGAGCTTTGGAATATTAAACAGAACCTTCAAAACTTGGAAGTTTCAAGAGGCAAGCCTTGGTCTTAAGGGCTAGTTCTGTTGACCAGTGAGTTTAAGACAACAGATTGGACTTCTGCTCTTATCAGCACCCAGATATTTGACCCCATATAGCTTCCTTAGTACTAAAAAGATTTGGAAGGACAATGGAGTACAGACAGGTGGGGGTTGGGAGGGCTACCATTACGCACATCATTTAATTCTTGCTGTTGTTTGGGTTGGCAAGTAGTGGATGAAGAACAGGGCTCGGAGTTGAATAATTTTCTCAAGGTCACCCAACTGGTAGGTGGGAGTTGGGACTGCCACCCAGATTTATCTGACTACAGAGCACTTTGCCTGCTACCTCCCAGATTTGCACTTCATAAATAAAATCAGTTACATAAACTTTACTCAGTGGTGTGAAGACGTTTTCACTGTTATTACTTTCTCCTCTATGATCATCTCTCTTTTCTGTAAGTACAATGCACTAAGTTTTTCACGTTTTAAAGTGCATTATGTGCTGAATCTCCCTGTATGCTCTGGACCCCACGCTCAACCAAAGGAAATTTAACTTCTTGAGTAAACTCCTGCAAGTACTTCCAACTCTATGGCATTTCCCTTAACCTGAGCCTACTTGAGCCCCTACCATCTCCCAATGGCTGATTTAGGGTCTGCCACTGTGGAAGAGTGAGCTCTAGAGTATGGAACTGGAGAATACGCTGTATTCCACTTCCTTGCTTCATCCTGTCCCTCCTGCGTGGCCACTACAACAGCCCTATCCTTCCATAGTGTAGTTGGTAGCTCTGAGAAATAAAAACCCACTTAATCAGCTCAAAGAACCACCAAAAGCCTCTATCACGTACTTATTGGTCAGGTGTTCCTCTAACTTGTCACACTTGTATTAATTCAATTCAAAGCAGCTACATAAGGTAAAAACTTGTATTTATAAAGGCTTACCAGGTGATGTCAACTTGAAATCACCTGGTGTTGGTAGTCTACGTTTTCATTTGTACTGAACAACGTTAACAAATCTTTATGGCAACAGAGTGTGACAAGTTGAAATAGCAAACATTGAAGAATGGCTAAGGGTTGGCCGAAAAGTCCATTTGGTTTTTTTCTGTAAGATAAGACACATTTCATTTTCATCAGTAACTACTGAATACTTTGAGTGTGTCAATTATCTCCCATGTGTTATAACACTGATTGTTCTCAGTTAATGTCTTGATTTGATCATCATCAACTTCAACTGGTCTACCTGACCACGGAGCACTGTCCATTGAGAAATCTCCAGCACCATACTTCACAAACCACTTTTGACACATTTGGTAAACCATAGCACTTTCTTAGTACACTACACATCTTTATTTTTACTTGCACTTCAGTTGCATTTTTACCTTTCTTGAAACAATGAAGTATAATAGCTAAAACATATATTTTCATCTTCAATATTAAAAATGACTACATAAAAATTCAAATTTTGATTTTTTTAAATGCACTCTGATATGACAGCTATTACAATACAATCTAACAAAATTGTTTCGAATGAAGTTAAAGACAACTGAACACTACTAGAGCCATCTTACGGGGAAAAAAACCAAATGAACTTTTTGGCCAACCCAGTACTTTGCCATCACTACTCAAGCTCATGAAAAATGAAAAGAAACTGATTTCAGGTATATGCCTGGATATTTGTGTCAGATCTACATACGCCTTTAAATTTCATGGCAATATGATAAAAAAACCCTTGTTAATGAAGCCCTACATTGCTGTGAAGGTGGTGTTGGGGAACAGGCAGGTCCATATAGTCTTCAGTGGAATTACCAACTTGTAACACTTCTAAATAAAACTCATGTAATTTATTAAATGTTACCAAAATAAGTCTTTACTGGTGTTATCAACCGAAGACAAACTTTTTAATGTGACTTCAAAACATTTATTTTACATTTAGGCTTAACGTGCATTTTAGAATAACTTTTCTATCCTAGTGCTATCTTATTAAAGCCATGCAAGGCTTCTGTCTCTCAAGTGGAAGGTGCAGGAAAATGAGTGGGGGAGGGGAGCAGGAGGTTGGAGGAAAGCAACAATATTAAAGCAGTTTATTATTAAATTTCTCATGGTTAATTCCCCTTCTAGACAATTGCAACTACTCTTTGCTGTTTGTGTTGATGCAAGAGGTTAAACAAACAAAAAAACCCACAAAGTATGAATTAAAAATCCTGTTAACAGCCCTGGCTGGTGTAGCTCAATGAATTGAGTGTGGGTTGAGAACCAAAGGACTGACGGTTTGATTCCCAGTCAGGGCACACACCTGGGTTGCAGGCCGGGTCCACAGTGGGGTCCATGTGAGAGGCAACCACACACTGGTGTTTCTCTTTCTCCCTCCCTTCCCCTCTAAACATAAATTTTTTAAATCTTTAAAAAAAAAAAATCCTGTAAACAGTAGGCAAAGCACACACTTAAATTTAATGCACGTGGATTGGCCTTCATCATTCCCTCTTAATACCCCAAATATACATATACCTTTATTGGGATGCTCTCCCACATCATCTACTTTTAAAAAAATGTAAATCTTTTCCTCTCTTCTCTTGTCTCATTTGTCCTTTTTAGCCCTTCCCCATTACCTAAGGCTTAAACTTCATACCCTGGGATTGGTGCTATCACCAACATTCCGTAGGGAAGAGAGTGGTGGGGCCAAGATTGGAATGCAGACGATTCGATCCCTGAGGCCATACTCCTTGATGGTATCTGAAGTTACTCAGAGTAACATGTTAGAAACCTTATTTCCCAGGGACTGAGTTATTTCTGATTCATATTAACAAGACTTGGATTTACATGGTTAATGCACAAATTTTATTAATTCCTTGTAAGAGATACCAAGCTGAAATTCAATGACTAACTGAATTCATGCCGTATACATATATATATTCCTGTTTTGGGTTTTCTATCAACAAATATCCTATTCAACAGTCCTTGGGGTATTTTGAGAACATTCAGAAAATGAAATCCCAGTCATTGTTAATTAACATAATGAGTACATGTGAAGTTTTTCAAACCAAGTGAAACTGCTTGAAAAACACACCTTAAAAAAAAGAGAATGTACTCATTAACAGCCAAATCAAATTAAGCCAACAAGTAAACAGGTTTTAAGTGAGGCTTCCCCCCAAAACTTGGAAGAGAATTACACAGCCTTCAGAATTTACTTTTGAGACTAATGGATCACAGTGAACAGGTGAATTCACCTTTACGGGAACAAAATTAGTCCTAGCCACACCATCTTTAAGATATCTGTTTACCAATCTACCTCAAGAACCTGTCAGGCAGAACTGGTAAATTACACAGGACAGAAAAAAGAAGTCACAGGTATAAAAGCTAGCTGTGCCCAACTCTACATTGTAGAAAAATGAATGCATGGTGTCAAACTGAACAGTCTGAGCACCCGAGACCCACTGGCTATAAAGATGTTTTAGAAGCAAACTTCTCTTACAAAACAAACGAACTTCTGGGCTTACGTGTCAGCCTATAAGCAATCAAATTTCAGATATTAATGTAGCTGAATTTTGATTTTTCAAATTAGCACATTCATTTGTACAGTAACTTGGCACCCTAGGCAGCCAGGGAAAGAGGTGCTGCTCTTCCGATGTAAAAAATACCTGTCTAAACCAGCCCATTAGAAACAAATGGGCACATGAAACAGCAAGGTATCTACGGAAGTTATCTAGCAATTTAAGCATGGTACTAGGGAGAAACACTTTCTGTTTAGATAAAATTTGGGAATGATGAGATATCTTGATAATAGAACTATCTTCCTTTATAATAAATACCATGTTTAAAAATCTTTTTTTTTGTTAGTGAATACAAAGCCTTAAAATATCTAATTAACCAAGGGTACTTAAAGAGTACATAACATTCATTCACATGTAAGCAGTGGTTTATTTCTACAGTTGGCTAAGGGGAAAAACTCAGCAATTTAAATGATCAAACATAACAAAAATGTGCTTTGCTTTTAAGGCAAAGCAAGGCCAAAAAATTTTTTTAATTTGGTTATCTTAAGTAGACCCCAACTAGTCATTTGTTTAGTTCTAAGGGGATAGACAGGCCAAAAATTAAGGTATCCTACTGACAAGAGAAAAACTCTGATGTTCTAAATTAAATCACAGCAGGTCAGAGTGTGGGAGAGACAGGAATAGAAAATCAGTTAACAGAGCCTAGAGCCAAAACTAAGACTGTTCACATTCCTGAATATTATGTTGAAACTTTAAATTCCAGGGAACTATTCCTACGATTATTTAAACAGAATGGGTATCACCAGATGATGCCTTGGTTCACACATGAATATTCCAGACTGTTCTCCACAACCAATACAAAAGTATATCCTAGAACTGTCCTGACTCACATTTCCAGCCCCTTTCATTTACAGCCAATGAAAGTTTCTTTGTAACAGATCACATCCTTGTTTCTCAGACTCAGCCTATGAAAGAGCCCTGTCAACCCCAAGATGGTGGTATGTGTGTTTTCTCCATCCTGCCTGCTGCTGGGGGTTTAGACTACGTGCCCAGGAGCTGGATCGTACTCTGGCTAGCCCTTTCTTTCAGAAAAACTTTCAGCCTTGAAGGTTTTTAACACTGCATAATTATAATGTTAGTACAAAATAATGTAAGCGCCTCTCATGAAACCAGGTATCACGGCAGAAATTTTCTCTGACTCTTAAGAACTCTAACCAGAATGAACTACATACTTGTCGGAAGAGCGAGATGCATCTATAAATACATTCAAAGATAAACCTAGGGGTGATAGGTACATGACTTTTCAATATTCAAATACCTCCAAAAAGAAATGGACCTCAGGTTAAACGAGAAAAAGGAACTAGGAATTCTGGAAGGTCTCAATAAAGAATACTACCACCAGTTTTGTAAAGTAGGCCTCCAAGAATATTTCTGTGAAAAGATACTCCTTTGCTTTGGTTCTGAAAATACTGTATTTTAAAGTACCTAAGGCAAATACTTAGGGGCACAGCTCAGTATTAGAAAATTAGTTGAAAGAGGTAGAAGTCAAGACTTTGTATGCAATGTGCTTCTGCATAAAGGTAACAGATCTACAATCTGGGGAAAATACAACTAAAAAACGAATCACTCTTTTATAGGCTGTTTAAAGATAATGCTTTTTAATATTTCAAATATTTTAAAAATCTCATCAAAAATGTTTCACCTTAACAGTACTTTGCACATGTGAAATTTCATACCTAAATTTGATGATACTATTTTGGTTTATGGCTACTTACAAGAAGACTCAGTAACAATGTCCATTCACTGGAGTCTTTTTCTTTGGTTGAGCCTATTGGGACCAGGTTGATGAACTATTTATGCAAATGAGATGGCTAGAGCAAATTCATAGTTATATGAATTATAAGGATTTTCACTGAATGGAATCAAAACTTAAAAGGATTTTCATATTTATCCCCATTGTGGTTTTGGAAGCTAATATCCTGTTCAGAGGTTAAAGAGTTTGAATAGCTCACACAATCCTGTAAAAATTACAACTGGCTGCCCTTTAATAAATAAAGTCATTGTAAAGATTTACATTTACAGAATGAAAAGTGTATACATAGCATTTCAAATTCAATTTTGGAAGTACTAATAAGTACTGACCCATAACAATATACACTAGCTACCTTTTTAACTGTCCATCATTAGCACCAATAAAGATTCAACAAAATTACCTTTATTCCCACATCTCAAAACAATTCTGCAAATTCTTTGTGAAAGTTTAAGTATAGTCAGTCACACACCTTAAATATTCACATTTTTTCTGTCATACTGAAAATAAGTTCACTAATTTTCTGGATATTCTTTACAAAATCTTATTAAAATTCCTGGTATTATCATCCCTAAGTATACAGTAGCACAACCACCCTATGTAGTTTCACATGATAGCTCCTTAGAGGTTTCACATCTAAATTACCAAGAACAAAACCCTTCCCTCCCTCATTTTGCCCTCAGCTTAATTCTACCTATACTAGTTCTTGGATTATGTACCACTGTCAAAGTATAACTGTATCGAAATTATCAGGTTTGTGGATACAATAATATGCCGTACAGAACAATAAAGTTACACATAATGACAAAGATTACTAAAGTTATGCAAGACAAGAACAAATGTTAGGACATGCTAGCTAGGCAAAGTCCTTAGAAAGAGGCTCCTATTATCTTAAATTCAAATAACATTGACAAAATAATGAACAAGTATCTTTAAAAAATTATAAAGCTACTTGCAAAGTAGGTAATTTCTAAATAAAAGTAGAGCACAAGATTAAACTCTTAATATTTACAACTGCAACATACTCGAGTAAAATTACAATTGTGCACATATCAGTGGCTGTTTTTTTAACATTAATAATTCATATACATAGAGGAGAAGTTAAGACAGATTTCAGTTCAACAGAAGTTGAATTCAACCCATCTCAAAGATATTCAACAACTCAAAAATTTACCACAGAATACAAGACTCGCTGATAAACCAAAGCCTATTACTGGTGTTTAAGACAAATTTTAAACAAGTTAATGTCTGTCATTTATTCAGAAGTCAGATGACTGTGCCAATTTGACCTCAACAGGAATATACTGAGATGTGCAAACAAAGGTAAAACCTCCACCAGCTGTTTACCTGGAGGCTGACCTTATTTTAAATTTTTTTCTCAGAGGTTCCTGATAAGCTATAAATACAGGTACAATGCACAGTCAGTGATCTTTTTAAAATTTATTATTAAAATATAAAAGAACCGAGAGCAATAGGTTTAATTTTATTTTTATAAGGAAGACTGCATTTACCTGAAAAAGAAATATGGCATCACACACAAATACACTTCAGGGGAGGAGTATGTTTAAGAATATGGTGTCATCCTGATTGCTAAAGGAAACACGATTCTTGTTTACTATTAAATTACGTAGTGTTAAAGTTCTTTATTTAAAAAAAAACTTACTAATTTTTCACTATGTACGTTTTGTGAATTTAGTTTTCAAATCACAGTAATCTGCATTACCATTATTAACAGCTCTGTGTTATAGTACTATAACAAACCAACAAACATTTAACTGCACTTCACATCAAGAGTATGTAAACTTTATTTTTTCCTCTTCAAGCCTTCAGAAAATTAGGGGCTATTTCAGCAGCCAATCTGGTCAAAACCTCTGAAGGCAAAAGTTCAGTGCCTCACAGTGTAAATGACCATCTGTGGCACCGCACAGCCATATGGTAGTGAAGTGTCCCCCTTCAGAGGCTTCCAGTAAGGCCTAGAGTTTAAGGTTATAACATGAAAAAGTGCCACCTTTGTTTTAGATTAGCGATGGACTCTGACAAGATAAAATAAAGTTATTCTGTATATTGTTATACTTACAAGCAGCTCCAATCCTGAGTATTTATGGTAATATCTAAACATACAAAAATGTATGTACATTTGTCTCCACTTTCTTGTAAACAGTTTTCAGTATACTGTTTTATCCCTTTAATATTGAAACATGCAAGTCATACATACAAGTATAAATACACAAAAGAAAACAATTTACACTCATTCAAAAGCCAAGCAACAACAACAAAAATATAGCTACAGTAATCAAATTATAAATAACAAATGCTTGAGGCATCTTATATTCCTAGAAGCAGCCAGCCATTCATTTTAAATGTTCTTAGCTGCAATTGTAGAAATACTGAGTTCTGCACCTTCCATGCTTTTACAGTATTTATAACACTATCATATGTGGAGATAAAGACTTGTTTACTATAATCTCTTCTTTTCAGAATGAAGAATAAAGCAGCACTTACAAATATTGAAACAGTGGCAGCAATTGTGGTGTTACCACTGCTATATCAGAAGGATTCCATTCTAACAATTTTTAAATTAAAAAAGGAAAGGAAAAATTGACCTAAACAAATGATTACATGTTCATTCCTTGGGCACTTAACAGCGAGTCCAGCATGTCGTATGTGTCTTTGTAGTCCATATGCTGGCTGTGTGTACTGTACTCGTGATTGACATCAGGACCGTTGGTCTCCACTGGCTTCTTGTCCAGTTTCACGAGGGTGCTGAGATGTCCGTAGCCCACCTGGTATGTGACAGGGGGAGGAGGGGGTAAGGGATGGTTAAAAACAGAGTTGTGAGAGGATATATACTGCTTAACAGAGGAGGAAGAACTAGATGAACTACCTGAACTTTTGGAACCTTTGATCATTTTGGAGTGATGGTTGTGGGATGCATCATTGATATGCAGCCTCTTCCTTGAAGAGCTGGAACTAGAGGAAATGCCATCACTGCTCAGGCCAACAGGACTCCTCAGAACAGTGGGTGGTATTCCATCAGCACTGTGTTTACTGCCACCACTGCTGCTGCCACTATGTGAGTGGGAATGCTTGTGACTGCTGGGGTGGTGCCGGTTTGAGGGGTGTTCCTTGTGCTTCTCTTTGTGGTCTCTACTAATATGTGGACTGGAATGCTTGCTCTTCCCACTGCTTTCGTCGGAGGAGCTGTGTCTTTCTGAGGAAGAAACTTTTATTTTCATTTTCAGTTCTTCTTTACTGGCACTTTTATCAGTGGGTGGTAATGGAATCCGTAATTTCAGAGATCCACTTTTTTCCTTCTTATCTGCCATGTATTTTTCAGGTTTTTCTGCATTTGTGATGGGAATTTTCATTTTAATGGGAGAAGTTACCGAACTGCTGCTGGTTGCCTGTGACTGCACATGTTTGTGTTGCTGTTCTACCTGGGCAGCTATATAATGATCCCTGACATCCAGATCAAGGGTTTCTAGCTTGCGTTTTTCTCTGTATTTATCTAAAGACATTTTCTGAGGAATAACTCCAGGAGTAGCAGAAATTGGTCCATGGTGCTTACTGCTCCCCGCTTTATGTGTATATTCTTGCTTAACAGACGAATGATCCGAGATTTTGTCAGGTCTGTGATGTAATCCTGAATGCAGTGATATAGAAGATCCCTGCTGGAAGCTGATGTTGTACTGGCTGCCAGACAAAGACGTCTCCTGTTTCTGTGAATATATCTGTTCTGTCCTCGCTGATTCTTGATGTTGAGGCCATTCTTGGTGTGATGACAAACCGTATGAGGTACTTGGCATTCCTGTTGCTAGCACTGACAAATTATCAGATGTATGGCTGTCTTGAACAGAAATATTTCCTGAATTCAGAGGTACTGGTGCGGGGAATGCTGATGTAGATGGTTTCTGAAAACTTGGGTTTGCAGGCACACCACTAACAGTATCTACTAAAAGAGAATTCTGGACCAAAGATGAACCAAGGAGTGGCGTTTCTGATACTTGTCCATCTACTTTTGGTTTCCTAGCCGCCTGATTAGCCTATTTAAATAAAACACAAAAGAAGCGATGACAGCGAGGAAATTTAATACACATTTCTTTGCTTATAAAAATTCTGTATTTATAGGCATAAAAGGCTATATAAAATGTTGAAAGCACTAATTTTGGAATTTGATACAGGTTAAACCCTAGCCTAGCCATCTGAGAAAGTAACTTAACTTGCCTAGACTGTAGCATATCCATTTGTAAAATGAGAATAATATTTCCATCACTGTGAGATCTATACAAAATTTATAAAATACTCAGCAAAGTTCACTGGGCACAATAGTTGAATAAACCATGTGTGCATGTATTGTAGCTTATGATACATTGTAATTATTTAGGAATACTGGAAATAATACTTAACTACAGAAATTCAAACTGGTTAGCTATGTAACTGTTAGATAAATGACAAACTGATAATTTGTTAAGCCCTGCCAATTCTTACCCTCCAGTTTCGAATCCTCTTCAACCTACTAGGCGTTTTCTCCAATATCTGTAGAAACTCATGTGTTAGCTCTAAAAATAAAATTTAAATTTATAACTTAGAAGGTTCCTTTAGGATTTAAATCTCTCAAGAGGGCAATATTAAAAAAGGATTTCAAGAATTCACTTACTTCACTATCACCCTCCTATTCAACTTTCAGCATACACAGAAGCAGACACAGCTTTGAACTAGTATTTTTTAAAGAAAAATCTCTCTGCCACCCCAATTTTATGTACTTACTCAGAATCTCTGGAAAATTTAGTAGCATTAAAAAAAATACTCCCCCAAAATAGAAACCTCCATTAGAATAATAGTAGTAATTGTTGCACGTAAGACCCAACAACAGATTTAAAATTAGTGAGCAAAAAAGTTTGAGGAAAAAAAAGGGTATTTGTATAATCTCAGCATACCTTCCTCAAGGTATTTATTACTTGCAAAGAGAAAAATAGTAACTTTACAATGGAGAAAACACCAGACACCACCTTAATCAAGTCATCATGGGTATCATTACTAGCAGTGAGACATACCAAAACGATGTAGCCCCCCGATAAGGTGCAGAGTAGGACACAACCCATTTCTGTGGTATTCTTGCCAAAACTGTGTAGCCTCAATCTAATGAGGAAATATCAGATAAATTCCAATGGAGGAATATTCCAGAAAATAACTGACCATGGAAAACTGTAGTTGGTTGGAAGAAAACAAAGGGGCATGTCAACCAACTGAACTGTGGGATCTTAAAACAGAAAAACTGGAGAATAAAATGTGTAGTTTAGCTAATATTACACTAATTTTAATTTTCTGGTTTTGATAATCATGTATTATTTATTACATGTAATGTTAATATTAGAGAAACTTGGTGAAGTGTATCTATAATCTCTATACTATTTTGCAATTTCTTTAATTTTATAGTTATTTTGAACTAAAATGAAAAAAATTCCTCCACCTACCTTTTAACTTCCTAGCAATGAACACCATTAACATATTAGTAAACTACTCTGGTCATATTTTTAGAGCAAATTTTCTTTCTTAAATTTAAGGTTAAAATTAGATGATTTACTTCTCCAAAGTAGTGTGGTTATGATCAATTAAGTATAGTTTTATACCCCAAAATAGTAGTCTTAACAAAGTTACTGGCTACTTTGAGACAAATTTTAATATCGATCTTGGTAATGCTGTAAGTTCACAAGCTGTGACAACTACTGTATTTTGCTGTGTATAATGTGCACACGTTTCTGGTCCTAACTTTAAGGAAAAAAAAAAAAAAGCCTGTGTTTTGATTTTTAAAATTCGCTTTTTATATATATTTATACACTTGTTTTTTATATTATAAAGGCATTTTAGCATTTGTTTTTGAACATATTAAGGTACAAGAAATTTTATGTACCAGTAACAGATTTACAATATTTAATGCATCATAGAAGGCCAAGAAGTCTTCATCACTGTCAGTATCAGAAGTATCATCTTCAATTTCTACATTACTTGTATCTTCTGAAGAGTCACTTTCCTCATGCCAGTAAATTTCATCATCCTCAGTTTTATCCATAGTATTGCTGATGCTGCATTTTTAAACAATTTCAGAACCACTTCTTTCTTGACATCTTTCCATGATCTTAGGATCCAATCATAAACCTGGGTGATGGATGCTTTCTTCACTCTGCCTGTGAGTGTTAAATCATTACCAGCTGGCTGCCTCCACGATATTCACTCGTTCATTAGGGCCTTAAAGGGCTCGTTTACTGACACATGAAGAGGTTGCATTTGGCCAGTTAGCCCAACAGCTATCACAGTAAGTTGGGTTTTCAAGTCCACTGCGATGCTTTTGCACTTGAACAGGAACAAGCAAAGCTGGTTTTTTAAGTAATTCTCCAGGCCTTCCTGACCAGATTTTGTGAAACCAGATTTTCAAGCCTTCTTTATTCAGCCCTCCTTTTTCATGCACATGGACAATAACTCCACTTGGAATCTTTTAGAAGTATTTTCCTTTTAAAGATAGTCATAGGTGTTTGTGACATCTGCATAACAGGCTAGAAAAACTGTAAAATGTGTTTTCTCACAACCACTCTTTAATAGCCACAGTCTTTGCTCCTTTGACATCCACAGTTGTAATGGATGGCATGTGTCCCTGATGTATCTACTGGATGGCATATGTCCCTGAGAAATCATCAATGTTTTTTTCTCATGCAATCCTTTTACCTTCTTCTTGAATCACCTTGGTTGAAACAGAGATTCCAGTTTGATGCTGCTCCAGAATCCAGGTCTTCACCTCCTGCTCCACCTCCAGCCATTTTGGGGGTTTCCCTTCTACTGCCTTTTTGTATCTCGGCATCTGAAGCTTTTCTTCCTGTGGCCTCCACAATCTGATACAGAGAGAGTGGAAGGAGGTCCAAAAAGTCTCTTGGCAGCTCTACTGCCATGCTTTTTAGCATATTTAATAACTTTTAGCTTAAAGCTTGCAGTGTATGAAAACCGTTTCAACATTTTCCAAGGTATTTTCCAATAATTTTTCCCACCTAAAGTGTATGAAGAGAAATGTCAAATGTAGCGCTGTTCACCCTATCTTATCAACTGGATAACAATGGCATCGCCTATCTTATCTTACTCTGTTGATAATAATACTCTTCCTTCATTTCGTCGAATCACTGGCCGAAATTGCTTTTGTTTCAAGTTTGTTGTAAATTCAACAAAACAGATTATATATTCTAGGGTATTATTTGCATACAGATACCATTATTGTTTTCTTTCTGGAGTTACACTTTTAACACATAACATAAATGAAAGAATTAAAAACATTTCTATAGATATGGGATTAGTACTACCCATGTATAATGCTCATCCTTAATTCCTCCCAAAAATCTGGGCAAAAAAGTGCACATTACACACGGCAAAATATGATAACTCCTGTGAAAATCTCATGAGCTTTTTGACAGTTTGGATGAAAAAAATCTAACACCCGAACTACTATTTACTTCTGCATTCTAAAAAAACCCCACCCCTTTTCTACTTGAACACTAAATAAATCTAGCAGATACATAATACTTTTGGGTCCAACATTAGTAAGAAATTGACTCAATTTCTTTAATAGGTTGGTTGTCAAAGATTAAATGTACATATGATTTCTGGTCCAAAACCACATATTCAAGCAGGCACAAAAATGTAAGCTTTGTTTTTCCTTTCTAAAGTGTCCTATTAACTTTTACAGTGGAAGAACAAAAGAATCTGTCAGATAATCAACTGCTAATATAAGTAATTAGCCATATGCATAAAAATCACAGTATATTTAAAATAGACAATACTCCTCAAGGCTAATGTACAAAAAAAAATTTCGAAATATAAAAAACACATGAGGTTTGTTATTAATCGTAAGAAGCCCCACACATAACAAAAACAAAAACTTACAGATTGCCAAGTACAAGCAAATGTTTTGGGAACATACTTTTAAATGAATTATTTCAATATACACTGATTCTTTGGACACATGCTAAAATTTAGATACATATTAGTATCTTAAATTTTGTTAATTTTGGGGGCATCAGAAAAGAAAAAGCTGCTATTCCATAATTCCTATTCAATGGCTTTCCAAATGAATAATGGGCTAGAACCTTTTAGAATGGAAGCGGAGGATATTTAGGTGACTGAACCCTGTTGAGTCAACCCATGCCAACAAATTTTATCTGTAAGGTAAAAGCAGGATAAAAGGCAATTTACTTTTTCTGGTGAACTTTATTATAGTACCATATATGAGGTCTGTCCAGAAAGGTATCTAGCCACATAATATGAAAAACAGAGACATTTAGTAAAGAAGACAAATGAAACACTGTACATAATAGGACAATGACATCGCAGTCCCCTTCAAAGCAGGCACCTTGGGACCTCACACAGTTCTTCCAATTGCCAACAGTTTCCCTGTTGTATTTTCCTGAATCGCATCGACAGTCTGTAATCTCTTCCCTTTTAGAGGTGATTTTAGTTTTGGAAAAATCCTGAAGTTGCAAGGTGCAAAATATGGGTTGTGGGGGGCTAAGTCACCTAGTGACCTGACGTTTTACCAAAAACCTCTGCACAAGACATGATGCATGAGCAGCAGACACACTGTCATGAAGATACTTGCCAATCACCAGCTGCCCATAGCCGTGGCCTTCTGAATCATCCAAATAGTTTCCACGGAGGAATGTTCAAACTTAATGCAAAATGTCATGCAGATTTGTTGTTCTATTCAGTCATTTTGAATGCAATGTCCACACAGTACACATGCTCACTCAGCCAACATCTACTGCCCCCACTGACTACTACTAGTTCAGCAAGGTTGTCATTATTCACGCATGCACATGCCAGTCCACTCTGCTTGGATGCCAGATTACACTAATATTGTGCAAACTGTTCTTGTTTTATTAACAATGACTGGATCCTTTCTGGACAGACCTCGTATGTTCAATTTGTTTTTCTTTAGGCTAATGAATCCTTATTTTCATCCTGTTCATTTGATCACGTAGTTATACTTTAAAATCTCTTACCAAATTGTTAAAACAGAAATAATGTTTTTAAAGTCTAAATTTGAAATACAAACTGAAATATTAATAAATCAAAAAATATCTGGGATTAGCATTAAACTAACTAATTGTAGGGGAGGAAGGATGTTGCATTGTCCAGAACAGGTTAACTACTCAGTTGGGCACGAGTATACAGGATTCACTAGTTTTCGAACCTATGCAGAAGTAGACAGAATTTTTCCGTTAAAAATAAATATTTTTAATGTAAAAAACTTATTTTGTCTACTTACCATCTAATAACTCTAAAGTAACTGTAGGATCCACATATTCCCACCAATGTTTTCCATCAGTTGACACAGGAATCTCCCAATTGGACCATTTGCAAGCCAAATGAATGCACACACAGGCTATCACTGTTGGTTTGTACTGAAGACAGAAGGTGGTAAGATGTAGACTGTTGTGGTGCAGATTGAAAAGGAAGAGCCACAAAAATTCAAATATGTAAAACAAAGAAAAAAATTTGCCAGTAAGATTAGAGCAAAAACAGAATCACAAAGGTTTTCTTCTGTTAAGTATAGAATACAAAACCTTATTTTATTAAATTAAAAGCTAACACTATAGCTATAAAATTCTAGTACTAACAAAATCTAGATAGATATGAACATCCCCACACTTACTCCTCAGAGTATTGTATTAATATTTAACAATACTACTAATATAATATTTCTAAATTTTGCTTTTATAATTAAATTCAAAGTATTTTATTTCTTTATAAAAGGGGAAGATATACTTAATATACTTCTATTTCCAATAGTCACCATACACAAGTACAACACAAACTTTTTTTGGTGGCATTTTTGTTTCTTTTGTAATATCATGGTAAAAAAAGTAAGGAAAAAACAAAACTCTTTGGAAAAGTGACAAATTTCAAAACTGCATTATAATAAGGGATTCTATCATTTGGTGTGGCTTAACAAACATAATTCTCAAGTAAGTTAAAGAGAATTTAACACTTATCTACATCAACCTCTTCTTTTCAGTAAAGCCACAGAGAAAACTTACCTTCTGCACAATAGCATCAAGACCCAATGTTGCTCTATACTACAAAAACACCACCTTTCTCATTCCACTACACTGGGCATGTAACATGTCACAAATAGGCTTTTCTAACCAAAGTTTTAAATTTCAGCGTCATTTTTGTTGTTGTTCGGAATTCTCAGGATAGAAGTTAAATCCCAACGACACATACCTTAATAACATACATTGATATTTGCCAACCCAAAGTTTTAAATAAAACATAACAGTGGCACAAAAAGTTAAGAACTACACAAAGCTGGAGACTATCTGCTCTCCAATGACCCATTTAAAAAAACAAATTTAAATCATTAATATAATCAATACAGAACAGAATTTTTATAGATATTAAAGGCTTTTAAGAAACTATTCTTCCCTGGCTGAGTAGCTCAGTTGGTTAGAGCATCACCCCCAAGATAGTGGGTTCAATTCCCAGTCAGGGAACAAACAAGAATCAACCAATAAATGAATAAGTGGAACAATAAATCAATGTTTCTCTCTTTCCCCGTTCCCTCCTCTCTAAAAACCAATAAATAAAATTAAAGCAAAACATTATTCTTCTACTTCAGTTTCAGAATTGATGCAAATGTTCAACCCACATCATTTTTTATTTATATAAACTAAAAAGTTTTTTAAGTGAAAAGTACACTTAATGCAAATCTGGACAGACACTGATAGGAGTTGACTACTTCTAATTCACTACTAGTGAATATTATCTGGAAGAAAAACCAAGTTATATAAATTTTATTTATTAAAAACCTTTAATAATTAAAGATTGGATAAATGTGAAATTAAAAATTGTCATTTAACTATAATTATAAACTAGAAATAGTTTTATACTTACCAAGTTGCTCGAATTTCTACGTTAAGTTTAGCTCTCTGTAATCTTTAGCTGCTATTCAGGCTACCAATTTTAGACTTATGCACTCACAAATCGAGAATATGTCATCAAAAAGCACCACTACACTTCACATTGTGCATTTAACCCCTCTGTGCCCAAAGTCCCTTGTACAATACACCGCAAAGCAGACAGGAAGGTACCACCACAGTAGATGGTCCAGTCTCCTGTTGCAACAAGGGTAAGAGACACATTGAGGGGGCCCTGCATTAAAGGAAGCTATAGTGTGCTACAACAGTGCAACAAAGAGGGTCAGGATAACAACCTGTTGGTAGCCATGAAATAGGATGTCTGTGCCAAATCCTTGCTTGCTGTAAGAAAAAAAAAAAGAAAACAATACTATCAGCTTTAACATGTGACCATCAAAAAGTTCTCAACACAACAAAAACTTCAAAGATGTGTACACAAAAAGTAAATTTTACTTACTACTTACAAATATCACAAGAGCGCCATCATTTTCTATACTACTGAAAATCTTCAACAACATTCACTCAAATGTTTCTTGCTATCCCCCAAAGATCTGAGAAACAAGCCGATTTGCTTTTAGCTAGCCAGTTACAAGGGCTAAACTTGTTACTAAGTTAAGCATCTAGTCAGCTAAAAGTTGCAATAAAGCATTCTCCTGGATTTAAAAAAAAAAAAGAAGAAGAAGAAGAAGAAAAGATTTTGAAGTCTAATACAAAATACAAAGAGTTGCCTGCCAGACTTAATCCTCAGTCATATTTAAATTGGCTTAAGTACTTCCCTCAAAACAAAACAAATCCCCAACCCACAAACTCAGAGAGCACAACTGCTCAGTTTTTCATCATGCTACTATGCATCAACAGAAATAACCTAGAAACATTGTAAGGACATAAATAGAGAAATCTCCACTGTATTATTATTTTTTTTTAACTATAGAAACCAGTTAATGACAACTTTAGATATGATACCAGTACTTTAGAGGGAATCAGGGTGCGTCAACATAGGTCCCCAGAAGAAAACAGTTGAAATTAAGACACAAACTCAAAACGGTCTCCCCCCTTCTTCTGCTTCTTCATTTCCTCAACAGGGACGCCACTGCTATAATTCATCTTTTTCTTCCCCAACCAATTACATTCATAATCACTGACATACCTTTCCCCTCTGCTGCAACTAGGATCCCCTCAACTCACCCCTTTTCTAAAAGGCTTCAAAATCCTTGTTTCCTCCTATTGGTATCTGTAGCACCTGTAACCCCTGCTGCCCCATGTAAATCTTTACAAAAAGAAATTTGGGCTTAACAGCGTTGTGCTAAGGAAGAGTATGAAAGCATCAGATGTCTTGGAGGCAGTGTGACTTAAGTACTGCATTCTTTCCTGGTAGGGAAGGAAGGAGAATCACAAAAGTGAAAGGTCCCTGTAAAGTGACATTAGCCAACACTGCAGCAAAGTAGAATAATGCCAATTTTCTCATGGGGGGGGGTGGGGTAAGGCGAAGGTGAAGAACTTTAAAGAAGCCAAACCATTTACCTATCCCCCTCCAACAAAAGATTCAAAATATATAGAGAAGAAAATTTAAACTGCCATAGCAGTTTTCACCTCAGAATACATCTAAATTTAATAACCTTTCACTGTGCAACAGAGGAAGAATGAAGGGAAAATGTTCTTCTGTTAGCTGAAAATGGTAATAGAGCAAAGAAAAGAAGACACCAAACAAAACATTTCTTAAATAGCGGTGCAATCCACAGTTACTTGAAATATTAGTCAGACGAAAGGAGGTTAAACATATGTAAGATTTGTACTAAAATTTAAGCATCAGCACATTTTAATCATTAACAACAACAGACAATTGTATTTAAATATTTTGCTTTGGATGATACATCAAATTTGTATTTTTTGTAAATGCTTGAGAATCTACTGTTCAATTTTGTAAATGAATGTTCTTTACATGTCTCTGGCTTCTTTAGATATAGGAGAACATGAAAAAATAAACTTAGGCAAAGTTTTAAAAAGTTGACTAAAACTTCACAATAATACTAAGCCGAAAATCCAGTTTCAAGTCTAACTAAAGTATTATTTTAACCTGTATTAGTATCCTCCTCCATTAGGCTCAATTTAAAACAAATGATATGGCTTTGCATTCTGATAAACCAGTTCACCCTTTTAGATTTTCAGGAAAACAGAACTATTCCTCAGCCTTTTTATTCTTAATTCAACATCTACATTAATTATCTACATAAATCTATACTACACTATAATACTGGGGATGAGAATGTGCTATAGATATAGTTATATAACCACAAAGAACAGGAACCGTAATTATGTTCTAGTTTACAAATGATAATACATGGTATTAGGATAAAAATATATAAATGGCATTTTAGAGGTCCAGTTCTTAAAAAAACATTGTAGTATCAGATAAGAGGGTTTTTTCCGCCTTTCTCTTTTTAATATTCTCTTGTCATAACACAATAAAATCCTACCTGGGTATAAAATGAATTCAATTGAGAATGAATAAACTGAGAATATTTAGGTAAAACACTAAAAACCAAAACAAGGCCTTCATAAATTTTACACTTTTTGTTTAGAACAATACTAAAAAAGTCTGGTGGTAAAAGAATGAAACAGCAACATTCAATCATCAAAAAGGAAATAATAGAAAAAGGAACACTAGAGATTCTCAGCGGTTGCTATTAGTACACAACACTTCTAATAGGAAACAGGAATGTTGAAGTAGTATAAAAACATGCAACTGTGCAAAAAAATTTCTTGGAATATAAGAGCTATATAGGATTCATTAACAAGAGTAGAAAATTGTATCTCACATGCTTTATAAGCAGAAAAGCAAAAATAATAAATAAATAAATTAATTAATAAATTAATTTAAGAGCTCCCCTACTCCTGTTTATAAAAGGTTTAACAGCCACATCACGTGCCAGGTATCATAGTATATAATTATTTCCTCATTATACACAAAAGGGAAACCGTTTTTAAAAAATACTAAAGAACTGTGAAAAATGTATTAAACCAGTTTTGTTCAAACAAACAATGGCAAAACATTTCAAAAAAATGACAAATCTGCTAAGAAAGGCAATTATTTATAGAAAAAACTTCAGGCTAACCTCCAAATTCTTACACTATAATCTTTTCAAGAAGTCAAAAAAAGTTGGACATAAATAAAAAATTAATACTATTTTCTATTACCCATGTGCTAATGGCTTACATCTTAAATATTAACTGAAATAGGACAGGCATAGCTCAATGGGGAGGTACAGTCCTAACTGGAAGCCCTCCAATTTGTCAGTGAAATGAGACTCTCATTGAAGCGCAGAGGAAGCTAACTGGTAGAACCACAAACAGAAGTAGAGATGAGTAGGTAGATACAGACCACTAAAAAGTAATGCTTCAAAATGCCATTCCCCCAATTTTAGTGAAATTCAAGAAAGACATATGAACAAAATAACTTCCAAGTCAATTACAGACAATAAGAATCATTAATACTGTATTATTTTAAAAGTTTCAAAGATCACTTACCTCTTACTAACTGGGTACATTTCACCACATCTGTGTGTGGGTGCTCAATGGTGATCTCAAAACCTGAAATGAAAAGCACTTTTTTCCCCAATCACTTAACCACCACAATACTTGCCTGAGAATGCCATTCACCACACAACCATAAATGTATAATATATTTTTAACTATTAAAAAACCCCGAACACAATGTTTCTTGTCACTGACATCATTATACCTCAGATAAAAAGCCTTTCTTCTTAAAAACAATGTTCCATGAAAATTAATTATCAAAGTTACTTATATAGCTAAGGGGTAATATTCATTCAAAATTCTGAATTACAATTAGTTTGAAATTATATTCATGTTAAAAACAAACGGAAATCATGACAAATAAAATCAAGCTTGCCCCGCAGTTTAAGGAGGGAGTAGTTTCTTCCCCTGCCCTTTACTGAATTTACTGGGGTTCTTAAGTGTATTTTGATTTTTTTAGGAGATGTAAAAAGAACCTTTTTCATAAATGTAACATGTGGGCTACAGTGTAAGAAATCACCTCTTAAATAATACAGTGCTCTTATTTTCTTAGTATGCCTTTGATCAAAGGATTTCAGCCAGTTAGCTTATAATTTATGTTTCATCAATAACAAAACTGTTAAGGTAAATAAACCTTGTAGGCCTCATGATTCATTAAATCCCTGTTTCTCAAAACAAAGATAAAATGTTGAAAAGCTTCCAATGTTCATTCTACCCTTAGGTAGGGCAGGGCTTTCCCTTTTTTTAAAAAGTGGAGGTCACATCTAATATGTTCAGAAGTATTAAGTAAAGAACATCCCAATAAACTGGTAATGTGGATTTATAGTTATTGTATGGTCTATTTACATTTCTGCTGCAATTAAACCTACAAACTCATACTTTAACGAAAGCCAAAGAGGTATATTTTATGAATTCTAATATTCCCCTTAAAATGCTATTCAATCTGTGTGTTTGAGTATCTGTCATAAACAATACAAATGACACATGATTTTAAATAAAATAACTTTACATTATTTTTAATATAACTTTCCCTTTCAACTTTTATTTTGTAAGTATTTGTAAATTTTCATACTTATGTAATTTGACATAATAAAACAATAATATGCACTTTTCTGGATTAGGAAGAGTCTTTTATTTTTATATCTTTTTTTTACTATGAAAACTTCAAACATCTGATATATTTCAAACAAACTACTTCTATAATAAAAAGAATGTCAGGATAAGACGCTGTGATTACCACTTTAATTCAACAACTGGAATTGGAGTAATAAAGAACTATCATAATAAATGATTATTTATGACATACACAGTATGTGGCAATTTTTAAAACATACCATCTTTCATCTTCAAATTTACATTAAGGCAGGCATTATTATTCCACCTCTCATATACAGAAAAGAGGTATGAGAGGTAAACAGGGGAACTTTCCCCAAGTTTAAAAGCAAGTCAGAGTCCTACAGATTTAAAACTAGATTTTCCTAAAAGCCAATGTTCTTTCAGAATATGTGACTTCATACAAGTCAAAACTGCTTTAAGCCCCAATTTCCTCATCAGTAAAGTGAAAGTTAAGAATGATCTTTAGAGATCACTTAGGTTGCACAAACTCTGCAGACAACATAACTATTAGATAAGAATTTTCAACATTTAATGAACCAAAAATGATATAAATTCATTAAATACTGACTATAAACTCTAGGAGAACAAGAACTGCCATATATGTCTGCATATACTACAAGCACATGCAACAGCCTAAAAGGAGTATTTTATTCCCCAGTATGAAGCCAGAATGAAGCATAGTATCCTGACTATCTGAAAACATGGAAATCACATTGAAGGCTGTTTCACCCAAATAAAATTTTAAAAAATGATTTCCTTATAATATTCTGGCCCTAAATTTTGTTTTAAAATGAAATTTTCTCCAAAGATAAAAATCAGTCCAGAAATTTTCCCTTTATTCAGCATATAGCAGGGTCCTTGGATACAACAGGCATTATGTTCAGCATCATTTTGCTATACCATAGGAACTTAACTCATATGTATAGATTAGCCTATGGCAAATTGGTTTTGTTATATGTTGTTCTACTTAAAATTGCAAAACCTACCAATAACATTAAGTGAGAACTTACTGTACTGCACTGAAGAACACACACATAAATATACAACATAAGTACATACCTAGGGTTTGTAGCATTATGGTTTCAAGTAAAACCAGTTCTTGAGTTTGCTGAAGATAAGCCTGCCAGGAAAAAATAGTAATATTAAAATGCTTAAGATAAAACATAACACTACAAGACTAAGCAGCTGTTAAATCTCAAGAGAATTATAAGATTAGAAAAGAACCAGAGTAGTTTAAAAATATGAAAGAAATAAAGAGTGACAAGAGAAAACCTATACTGTGACAAATTGAAACTGAATTACTTCTAGTGTAAAAAATGTAAACAAAGCAAAAAAAAACAAAACAAAAAAAACAAAACTAACCCCAATAATAATGATAATGTGAAAGGGGGTGGGTTAATTGGAAAAGAGCTCTTTAATCTATAATGCAAAACTTTACTGAGGTTTTATTAGTGCTTCAACACTTTAAGTACAGAACTACCAACCCAAGTACAAACACCAAATTCAAACCCACTTTTTAAAGCAAAGGCTCATCAACTTAATCTAGGATAATTCATGCTTTAATTCCTTGACAGTCACAGTAAACTGAATGAATTACTTTTATAATCAACTTTCTCTCTTCAGAAAAGACAAAATAAAATCAAAACAAGTCCTGTAATCTCTAAATTTAAAGAAAATATTGGATATACAAAATATCAAGACATGGGCATCCATGGGACATAAATGGAGGACCTTCTCCCACAACTTTAATAAATTATTCCTCTATTGCAATTACTCTGGAAATAAAGGGTATGAAAAATTTTCTGGCATCTCATTCTTAAATCACGACAATTGACTAAGATGATTAAAAAAACCAATATATTAAATATACACATTCATTTATGTACAAACATACTATTAAACCCAGAAAGGGAAAAGCACCTTTAATTTGATTTATACCACATTCTGAAAAGGTCGTTGAGTTGATTTTTAAAACAGATTTCTATTATTTAAATAATATCCTAAGTATTCATAAGAAATTCTACATTTAAAAAATTAACAGACATTACTAACTTGAATAGTTCATTTTTTGAATGAACTATTATTCTAACATTCTCTATTGAACTATTGAACTAACATTCTTTATTATTAAATGGCTACATTAATGTTTTTCTTCCTTAAAGCCAACATCTAGGACAAAACTTGCCAGTAGTAAAATGTAATACACTTAATCTGGACCTTAACCTTGACCCAAATCAAACTAAATTAATATAATCTGGTACTCATTCAGTAGTTAAACATTCCTGATAAAGTAACCCACCTATAATAAGTGTTAGAAAAAATATTTTAAAGTGGTGCTTTCAAACAATATCTAATAAAATGTTGATGAACAAGTTGTTTAGAATCTAGCATTACTCTTTACAAAAATTTTTAAATGACATTTATTAGCCCTGACTAGTGTGGCTCAGTGGACTGACTGGGTGTCGACCAGTAACCTGAAAGGTTGCAGGTTTAATTCCTGGTAAGGGCACATGCCTGGGTTGTAGACCAGATCCCCAGTTGGGGGTGTGCAAGGAAACGGATAGATGTGTTTCTCTCTCCTCTCTCCCTTCCACTCTCTCTAAAAATTAGATAAATAAAATCTTAAACAATAAAATAAAATGCTGCTATGAAAACATGGTAAAATGTTATCTTTATGTATCAAAGAGAGAAGTAGTAATATATGCACATTAAATAAAGGACAATTCTGTAAAGAGATTAATTACTAGTCTGCAGGCAAATACAGAAGTTTTCCTATTCCTTCATTTGCTCGCAATTTAGAGTTATTTTTATCTGTGGTCTTGAATATACCCAAACAATGGAGGTGATATGATTTACTCTCTACATGCATCACAACTTGCTGTGAAGATAAACAAAATGTGAAGCACTTAAAAAATACCTTACATGATTCAGGAGACTTCCGCCAAGATGGAGGCATAGATGGAAACACTGTGCCTTCTCACACAACCAAGTTTAAAAACAACAAAGTTTTAGCAACAAAAAGGGAGCCAAACCGAAGAAAATTGAACTATACTGAAGTCCAACAACAACAAACCATTCAGCCAGACCAGTAAGAGGAGTGGAGCCAGTAGTGGAGAGGGGTTGGCAGGAAAGATCCACAGGTCTGACCCAGGCGCACAGGCAGCCATGGGCGGATCCCAGGTGTGGAGTAGCAACGGGCAGACCCACTGAGGGCCCAAAGCGGCAGCCTGATCGAGGTCACGCATTCACCTGGAGATAAACCAGGCGAAGGAGCCAGCAGTAAGACAGACCACACAGGCCCCAGCGGTGGACAGCAGCAGAGGGGACCACCATTGTCCCTCTCTGACCCCACCCCCATGTACAGCATCACAACCCAGCAACTGGGTTGCCCCGCAGTGGTGAACACCTAAGGCTCTTCTCCTCATACATAACAGGCACGAACAGACCAAAACATGGCTCAAGAAGAACTCAAAGCCCCAGAGCCGATAAATGTAAGTGAACAAGAAATTGCCAACCTATCAGATGCACAGTTTAAAACACTGGTGGTCAGGATGCTCACAGAACTGGTTGATTTTAGTCACAAATTAGAGGAACAAATGAAGGCTAAACTAATTGAAATGAAGGGAAATGCACAGGAAACCAATAGTGATGGAAAGGAAACTGGGACTCAAATCAAGGGAGTGGACCAGAAGGAAGAAAAAAAATAATCAAACAAAAAAGGATGAAGAAACAAGAATTCAAAAAAATGAGGAGAGGGTTAGGAACCTCCAGGACATCTTTAAAAGCTCCAACATCCGAATTATAGGGGTACCAGAAGGGGAAAAGAAACAGCCACCAGTGGAAAACTTATTTGAACAAATAATAAAGGAGAATTTCCCCAATCTGGCAAAGGAAATAGACTTCCAGGAAATCCAGGAAGCTCAGAGAGTCCCAAAGAAGTTGGACCCAAGAAGAAACACACCAAGGCACATCATCATTACATTAGCCAAGATTAAAATGAAGGAGAGAATCCTAGAAGCAGCAAGAGATAAGGGGACAGTCACCTACAAAGGAGTTCCCATCAGACTGTCAGCAGATTTCTCAGGAGACCTTACAAGCAAGAAGGGGCTGGAAAGAAGTATTCCAAGTCATGAAATCCAAAGACCTACATCCAAGATTGATCTATCCAGCAAAACTTTCATTTAGAATAGGACAGATAAAGTGCTTCTTAGATAAGGTCAAGTTCAAGGAGTTCATCATCACCAAGCCCTTATATGAAATGTTAAAGGGACTTACCTAAGAAAAAGATAAAAAAGATGAACAGTGAAAGGGCAGCAAACTCACAGTTATTAACAACCACACCTAAAACAAAAGCAAACTAAGAGGACAACTAGATCAGGAGCAAAACCATAGAAATGAAGATCACATGGAGGGTTAGCAACAGGGGAGTGGGAGATGGAGAAGGGGGGAGAAGGTACAGAAAATAAGTAGCATAGATGGTAGGTAGAAAATAGACAAGGGGGAGGGCAATAACAGTAGGGGAGATATAGAATCTAAAGAACTTGAGACACATGGTCATAAATTAAAAAGGGGAGGGGGGGGAGGGGGTGTGCAGGGTGGAGGAGTATGAAGGGGGGAATAGAACTGTAATGGCATAATCAATAAAATATATATTAAAAAAATACCTTACATGATTCAGAATGACATTATAATTCATGAACATACACAAAATATGTTTCTGCCAGACTGCTTCCTGGTATTACATTCCTAAATGGTAAAAGAAATACGCAGCATTTGGAAGGCAACACTCAATTATATTTTTATTGAGTCTAAATAATAAAAGGCTTTCAAATCTAAAAAGAAAAACCAAAAAACCCAATTTTTACATACATCACACTTAGTATCCAGCAGTGGCTCTAGAGGATGAAGACAAGCATGTGCTACTTTGATAACATGTTCAAGTTTTCGAGCCTGTTCTTCCACTTTTGCAGCCAAAAATAATGCAGTAGGTGCTATTATCTGCAAAAAAGATAAAAAGTTGGTTATTTAAAAACACATTTTTGGAGAAACCTACTTTCTAAAGGGGAAGGGCATGCAAGGAAAGAATGCAATATTAAAAGTATGAATTGCTAGTTGGGCTATCAGAAGACTGATACTAAGAATATTAATAAAGTTACTCATTAAATGGGACTAGTTACCCTAGTCTATAAAATCTATTTTACTTGTTCTTCAAGTACAACACTATTGGCAAAAAGGAAAAAGACTTATACTTTACTCAAAATAAAGTTTGAATAATACTAATGCACATTGTAAACGAAAAAGGGGGGAACCCCCTAAAGGCAAGGAATGAAACCATAGAGCTTTAGAAAATGATGAAAAGTGGATCAAGTATAACCATATTTTCCTTCTTTTGGGGCAGTCACCACTTTCTAGGGTTTTCTTAAACTAATGATTCACTGTGTGGCTAAAAGGTACACAATCTTGCTTGAGAGACAGAAGGATCTACAAGGCAAAATGAGGATTTTGCACATGAAACTGCTACCTAATATCTTTATTACTTTACTAACATCATTAAAAGTAGCATAACAGGAACAAACATGTAAGATAAACCAACAGAGTAAAAACATTGCCAATTGGAGATCAAGAAATTAGCAATTTCTTAAGCTTGAGTGAATTAGATTCCTTGGCTAAAAGTATAAGGACACGGCACTAATAAAAACATTGACCAAGACAGAGAAACATCTATTTTGAACACATATTTAACCCCAAAGTTACTAATAAACTGAATAACTCCTGACTCAGAAACTGGGCATGCTTTAAACTCAACATTTTAGGATTACACACAAGAAACATCTCAGGGTGATGGAAAAAAACTAGACTTTGTGTGGGGAGTGCACAATGGAATATACTGATGTATTACAAGGTTGTATACCTGAAACTTACATGGTTACTAACCAATGTTACCCCAATAAACTCAAGAAACACCTCATGGAGAGATAATTTCTATATGTCAAGATTCAGATACATTATTTTTCAAGAGATAAACATCTGAGTCTCATTTTATCTTGGGCATCATCAATCACTATACAGAAACAATGTCAAAGAGGGAGGGAAATAGAGAGGGGCATAAATCATGCTATGTGATTTGGGGAGACAACAAAAGGAGAAAATTTCTTATACAGGGAAGGTGGACCCTTTCCTCTGAGTGCTTTTAAAACAACTTAGAAATATTGTTGTGGAGATGAAATTTAATCACTGGACTTTGGATCTGAACGGGAACTTCTCTATTCCAAATGCATTTGCAGATGAGCAAATGAGTAAAAATGACTAGAAGTTCTCTACCTGATGTGTAAATCTTTTAAAACAAACCTAAAATTAAGTGAGTTTGGCTCCAAACAACCAGAAATAATGTTATTTTGAAAGGCCCAAATAACTTCAACCTATTTCCACCTTTTAAAATATCAAAAAAAAATTTTAAATTGAATTAAACAAATTGCTCAAAGAAAAAGCAATGTATTCTTAATTTGCAGATTTAGAATAAACTGTTATTATTCTTTACAACAAATTTAATTAAGCAAAATCAAAATAGTTAATACTCTTGAAATACAGTTAAACAGCAGTCACCTGGGGTGGGGAGCATACAGGGTGGCGGTGGTTGTATTTCTGAGACGTAGAAAGTACAACTGAGATCAGACAATTATTCCTGTTATATTTTCCCCATACTTAAAATTTCCTATCACTGCTATCTACTTTGAGTAATTCCTTTTCTATTTAAAGGCTTAACTCAAAAGATCATCTCCTTCCAAAGTAAAATGTCTGAGAGTGAAGTGACCCTCTTTTTTTTTTAAATATATTTTATTTATTTATCTTTAGAGAGGAAGGAAAGAAGAGAAGGAGAGAAATAGCAATGTGTGGTTGCCTCTCGTGAGTCCCCTGCTGGGAACTGGCCTGCAACCTAGGCATGTGCCCTGACTGGGAATCGAACCGCGATGGTGTGGTTCGCAGGCCTGCGCTCAATCCACTGAGCTATACCAGCCAGGGCTGAAGTGCCCCTCTTTATTCAATAAAAAATTTTGCATATCTCTATAATGGTACTTATACTGTATTCTAACTTCCATTTTATTAATCTTGTCTGTCTTCTATAGTCTAGAAGCAGCCTGAACAGTGATTCATTCATATTCCCATTATGCAGCGGTGTGCAGCTGCTTTTCAATATATCTGAATATATGACATGTGGATAACCTCTATATAAAGATACCTATATTAAATTCCAAGTATTCCAAATGCCACAATAAAAATCTAAGAGCTAATACCAAGGTAAGAAATGCAAGAAACACTCAATAAAACATACACACTCAGTCTCCCACTTCTCATTTATTACCTTATTCATGTCTAAGAGGGGAATGGCTAAGCTAGCCTTCAAATGCTACAAGTATTTATCAAGGAGAAAAGAATAGAGGAACAAGTCAAATTAGACTGAGCTTAGTATTTAAACTTCCTTTCTGCCAGATGAACCAGAATTTCTCTTACTTGCTAAAAGACACTTGTAAAAGTCTCCAGTGAGTTTTTCTTGGTAAAATCTTTAAGGATTTCCAGTCATAGGTTCATCCCTCTTCAGACTTGTTGAAAACCTCAACATCAAAAGGGACTTTCAAACCACAGTTTTCCCGTTAGAAGAGAGTCTAATATAAACAAAGTATGTGTACTAGTGAATGATTCTCCAATTCTACAAATAATGAAAAATATTAAGTATTCCGGGAGCTAAGCAATGATCTTCAGGGCAGATTCCTGTGTATTTACCCACACTCCTCACAGAAGTCTTTCTGTTCCCTCTAAATAGGGCTCAATTCTCATCCTCCTCCAGTGCAACTAACACCCAACACTCTTCCAAAGTTCCTGGTGAAATCCACTAACTCCATTCACATTTCCTCCTCTATAGCCTGCAAACATTTTACTCCATCAGGGCTGTAAAAACAAAACAAAACAAAACAAAACACCTTTTTAGATAAATTGTGAATATCTCCATGTGAGATTTTAATTTTAAGGATGACTAAGGAAGGTAATCAAACTAGGCACCACTGCTTTTTGTATGGAAAGCTGATTCTGTTGTGTGGTTTGTTAAAAGGAAAAGAATCCCAAATTTTTAAAGCATTGGCAATATTACTAGTTGGTCTGTGGCTTTGGAGTTAACATTAATTAACAACACAAGTAAACCTGGCTGACAGTAAAAGAATTTACACCAATACTGGAGTACATACTTGGCTGGTTCAAGTGACCAAACAATTACAAACAGATTCAGTTCACTGGGGTCAGGGACCACGCAAACCATCCTTTGTGTTCTGGTCTCTAGAGTTTTATAAACTTTCTCCAATTACAATAACTGGAGGGAAGAAAAAATGATCTTTATATAGTCCAGAGTTTGTTACTCTAGCAGATGTCCAACTATTTCAGAGATACTACATTTTCAAAACAAGACAAATTTCTACAGAAATATAGCATACAAATTACGGAGAGGGAAAGGAAAAGGTGATGAAGCCAGTTGTAGCACAGTAGACAGACTGCCTCAGGGTAATGTGGCTAGCCTAGACAAACTTCTTATTCTCTTTGTGGTTCAGTTTCTGCATTTATAAAATGGGAGAAATAGTATCTACTATAAAGTTGTGGTGAGGATTAAGTAAATATATGTAAAGTACTTAGAATAGTGCCCCATAGTAGTATGACTCAAATATTACCACTATGTTGAAAAATTAAATTGTGTATTATTGACCTTAAATTTTAAATGTGATTTAACATACTTTAAAAATTTTGCTTTCTTCCAGTTAAGCTCAATTTTTTTAAAGGTTCTTAGTCCTAACTGAACAGGTTCAAACACTGATATTATGATATTGAGCATTACTTCAACGGTTATACCCATAATCCTTTTTCCTCCATTTGTTTTCACTCCCTTCTCTTTCTCTATTCCTTTATATGTTTCCTCTCCTACCTCTCGATCTGACTCCTTCCTCCTGCCCATTTTTGCTGCTATCTCTACTTTCTGCTCATTATGATGGCCTCATTGCTGATATCCTTCACCCTCCGTTGCTGGCTTCAACTGTGATGGCAGGAGAAAGGTCACTCTGAATTAAGAAAAAGCCTGGGTAATTCCTAACTCACCAAAATGGCTGTATCAGCAAGTTTCATGTGAATCATCTGGTCTTTATTCTAGCAATTAATGTTTTGTGTTGGGAACTGCCCTGCAGGGTTTCAGAAGCTGTAATCCCCTGGCTAAGGCTGACTAAAGGATCTTGGGACCATAAGCCACTCAGGAGACAAAGCTTATCTTTCTTATAGGGGCACCACCTCTTCACCCTTTCTCTTCACCCTGCTTGGCCCTGGGCAGATGTCTGGTTAGCCAATGACAGGTAAGATTCCTCAAGGGAGGAATGACCTAAGACAGGCATGGCCATGAAGGGGTCCTCAGGGAAGGACTTGAGGGGCTATGCCTTGCCCCTTGGCTTTGACATAGCCCGAGTCCTCATTCTGTCAGTAACAAGTCTCCTAATCTCTAGGCAGCCTTACTTCCCTCGCCTGACTTAAGCCTGAAACAATACTGGAGGTGGGTGTGGCCCTGTGTGGGAAAGGGCTGGTTCCCTGGGGCAATCAAGCCTAAGAAAAGAATGCATAATATCCTCTGGAGCCTACTTTGCTAATACCTTCAATTTAAATGATAAGGGTCAAAGCCTGAAATGAGTTTGTTTCCCCAAGGTTTTGTGGCCCTTTAGCTATTTGACCCTGACTCAGAGTAAGTAAGTCCTCAGAGTTCTTTGAATGTTCTCCATTGTTTAATAGTTTCTGCCTGACAATGATCGATGAGCTTTACATATATACCCTGTATTTCTATGCAAATTGAACCCAATAAATGCTTGTCCAGGCAAGGGCCCAGGCACTCTCCTCTTGAGAAAGAAGCAGAGCCGTCCCTTTTCCTCCATAGGACTTGGTAGTCTGTGTGAATTTGTCTTGTCTCATCCATAACACTGCAG